TGCAAATGCAAAAACTTAAAGTGCATTAAGCACACACACACACGCACATGCATGGACGCACGCACACACACATACACTCATTTATGTTGTTATCAATATAAATGCAAACATTTTTATTTACTTTTCGCTTTTGCGCATACAATTTGCATAAATAATTTCACACAGCGCAAAGCGACTAAGTGAATAATATACAGTTTGCAAGAGCATTGCAGTGCGGGGTATTGGGGCTGGGGGCAAGTGGGGAGTGGATGAGCGGAGCAGTGGAGGGAGGGGGCGTGCGAATACATATGCACATAAAGCGCAGCCGATGCGAATGATGGAAAATGCCTTGAGTGCCTTCAGTTTCAATGATAGCGACACAAGACATGGAGAAGAGACATACGGAGAGAGCAGAAGAGCGAGGGCGAGACTAAAAAAATGAGAGTTAAAGATAGAATGGGAGCGAAAGAGAGGGGTAGAAGACCAAAGAATGATGCAGAGAGAAAGAGAGAAACACAGAACGAGCGAAAGCGAGACAGGCAGATAGAGGTGTATAGATCAGTAAGATATAGAGAGAAAAGTGGGAAACAAATAGAGAGAGAAGTAGGCTAAGGTAGACCAGGAAAGAGATTCAGAAAATAACAGACATAACAAATATATAGAAAGTTTAATAGATTGGTCGAAAGACCTCTTTTTCTCTCTCTCTCTATCTATCTATCTCTCTATCTCTCTCACTCGCTCGCTCACTCGCTCGCTCACTTGCTCACTCTCTCACTCTTTCACTCTCTCTCTCACTCCCTCTTACCCACTCTCTCTCACTTACTCTTACTCTCTCTATAAGGTAGTAGGCTTGGCGTCGTCTCTTTTCACACATAAAAAATATCTAAGCTAAGCATACTTCAAATGGATTGTTCAAAGTAAATCAGTTTATATGGAGACAGCTAGTAATAGAGATAGATTCTTATTGCCGATTATAATCAAGTTTACGGGACTTGCTTAAAATCGGTTTAACTTAGCGCCTCGTTACGCCTCAATTTTTTGACCGTTGGGCGTTACGAATTCCTTTGTAATTTATCGCTGCGCAATTCGTTTGGGCTTTGGCACATTCGCTACATACAACGAGTGTGTGTGTGTGTGTGTGTGAGTGTGTGAGTGCCTCGTTCACTGGGGTGGAATAGACGCTATTCACATTAATATTTATCTATGCATGCGCAGTTGCCGGCAATTAATCGGCTCGCTGGGGTCTCTGCGATATTTTCTACTTGTATTATCATCAATATTTAACAAACCATATGCCCTGCCTCCCATCTCTCCACCTTGCCATCCTCCCGCAGCTCCTTGGGCTGCCGCTCCACTGCGAGCATTTTAATGCAATTGGCGCCTGCCAGCGGCGACGACGTTGTTGTTGGCTGTCAACTCTCCTGTCAGCAGGGCGATCGCGGCAATTGCCGATGAAATATGACGGAACAATATATATAATACATATGTATATTTACATATACAGATATATATATATATATATATATATATATATTTAAATATATGTATAGATACTATCGCGCTTTAATGCAGCGGACGATGGTCGTTGGGCGTTGGCAAATATGGCAAACAGCCTCTGGAGCGACGCGTTGTGCATGCGAATGCTTAAAGAGTTTGCGGAAATGGCAAGCGATAAAGTTATCGATAACAATACTGGCCGGGAAACTATACCAAACAAGTAATGTGCATGTCGAAGCAAATTACTTAGAACATTTGAGACTTGCAGTGAAGTTAGTTGCATTATAAATTTATCGATATCGATTGGTAATCGGCTACTAAACAATATATATTTATGTGAATGACAATAGACAATAGTAAGCCTATATACAGCTAAGCCTTGTCATTATAACAAGCTTAAAATGAGTTTCGATAAATGATAAAATGATCGATAACTACAGCTAGCTAGGAAATTGAGCATAAATGACGTTTTTAGAATGTTAAACGAAATTAGCCAAATGATAAAGCTATCGATAACGAAAAATAATAGTATAATCGATAGTTATATGAATATACACACTGAGCTTAGAGACCGCACACATGTATAAAGTATCTGAACAAGTTATAAATTCTTTTTGATCTCACTTCTAGTTGAAAATCGACTTTCTTTCTAAGAAAGTTTTGGCAGAGAATCTTACGCAATAAATGGATTTCGAATTAACCAAAAACAAAAGAAAAATTAAACTTTCTATGCGTGTAGCATTGTCGAAAGGCCTTCAAACAGATTTTAATTGCTGGTTCCATGTCGGCCAGCAAAGCAAGCAGCAAATCGAGTTGACCAACGACTTGGATGGCCTGCTGGGCTTCGATTTCGATTTGGAATTGGAATCGAAATTGAAATTGGTTGTGAATTTGTTTGGTTTTCGTATGTTGTTCGTTTTCGTGCTCCATGCACAAGTTCATTATAATGCCGTTGGCATGTTTATTATGTTGATTATGTTTTATGTGGGCCTCTCGTGGGACACTTTTTTTCGTCTTCTTCTCTATCGAGTCGAAAACCCCTAAATCAAATGAAGTGCGTGCGCTTGGGTCTTTGTTTTGGGCTTTTGGGCAATCGTCAACTAGGCGCTGTCTAGGCCATTTGGCCAGATCATTTGACATGCCATTGGCTTGGCATTCACACTGTTTTCTGATTACCCGATCATTATCACAAACGATGTTATATGGTCAGTCTTTGGCTAATGATTGAAGATGATTGCGTCTCCAATAGTTGGCACGATCTTGAAACTCGATCGCTTGGCCCTTTCCTTCAATTCAATCCAAAACAAAAAAAAAAAAAAAAAGAGCTGTAATGTAATTGCCCTCAAGAGTCATAAATTAATTACTAAAACGATTCCCCATCTGCGGCTAGGCCCACGAAAATCGAAAGTAAATTTTTTTTATTTTTATTTTTATTTTTATTTAATTTACGATCAGTTGAGCGCGCAGACCACTTGGTCGTCTTGGTGTGTGTCGCCTAAGGTCGAACTGTTTGAGCTCTTGCAGCTAGATCGTCGGCCCTGGCTCATAGTTTCCCTATCTCTAACTCTATCGACCTCTCTCTCTCTCTCTCTCCCTCGCGCTTCCTCTATGGCTCGATCACTGATCATTTTGTTTGCCAAATTGTAAAGCCACTAGATAATTGATGGTTCTAAAGAGACACAAATATATCAATGGCTCGGCGGGTAAAAGACCTTTAAAGTTTGCTATTTGCCAAGGCTAAATAGTTATATACTTAAATACTGCTTTGCTGTGGGAATATACTTCATTCGCTATAAACTTTAAATACAAGTTAATCAAAATTTGTCCGAGCAACACAACAATTTCCTGTTCGATTGCTGCTAATATATGGCATCCCTCTATGAAGTTTCCTTGAACGAATTGCATTTGTTTGCAGTTGCTAAGGGTTTCCCTGTTTAAGTCTATTCAGTGCCCAATTCTGCTGTTCAGTGCTGTTCTGCTGGCTAGTCTCCGGAGGTGGCTCCCACCTGCAGTTGCAGCCCGCTGAAGATCATCAATCTTTGCTTTTCTTCGCTTTATTTTGGCAAGTGTTGATTCAAGTTGTAATTCATTAGCTGTGTTCGGGCGTGCGAGCAAGTGTCGATCATGGTACTGAGTTCAAAACGTTTACAATTAGGCCAAGAGGTCAAATTGGGGGTTTTCAGCTTGCTTACCTGTCAGCTAATCAGGGGCGGGTGAGGGCTGGGGCATCTGAAATGTGGCAGCAGCCGAACAGACAGCAACAACAGAGCGCATTAGTGCGCGTAATGATGATGATCAATGAAACTAATAAACAACAACAGCAACACAACACAGCAATAGCAACAGCAATCGACAGCAACAACAACGCCAACACTCATGCCGGAAATTGTAGAACGTGTTTATGGCACAATTTCAAGTTGTTGAGCCACGCACAGACAATGCGTCAGAGCGTCGAAGCTCGAGACATGCGTGCCAAAACAGATACAGATACAGATACAGATACATATACGTATGTATATATAGATACAGCTGCAGCTACAGATACATCTATAAAAATCCCACTGCGGATGCAGTTTGCACAGTAGCCAACCTTTGCTTGCAACAATATATGCATGCCACAAAGTGCAAAGCCATTTCGAATGCCGCACATAAACAGAGAGAGAGAGAGAGAGGGAGAGACATAGAGAGAGAGAGAGGGAGAGCAATCGGCAAATTGTGTTATTGCAGCGATAAACGATAAACGTTTTACAATGCGCCTGTTGCGGCACGTGCGCATGCTAAAAGATACATTTGTATCTTGAAGATACATTTGTATCTTTGTGTCGCAGATTGCGCATAGTGCATGCTAGCTAGTTATTATATGAATCCTCCAGCATGCCAAGCACACGCACTTCACACAGACACACACGCACACACAAACCACACTCGCACACACACGCGCACATTCATTTCGCTCACGCATTGACGCAGCTCCATTCATAAATTCTTCATTCAGATTTGGTGCGTTCGCTGTGTGTTCGGTCTGCAGATCACGTGCGTGCTATCTACTTGGCCAACCGGTGGGCAGCTTTAGCCAGCTGGGGGGAAGCCAACCAACCGGGTTTTGTTTCATTTCTGTGGAGCTCGCGACAGTTGGAGGCAAGGGGCAGCTATGAAACGTGTGCGCCCAACGCAGTTGGGCAGTTGATTGACCCGTTTCGCTGCCAACTGTTAATGTACTTATTCAGATATATTTACGACTATAAACACACACACGCACACACATATATATCGCGAGTTGCCCCCGCCACGCCCCCTTGCCCTAGCGAGCAAAAGACAAAAGTCGTGCCGCACTTTGAGTTGCAGTCGAATTAGTTTTCCGGTTGATATCCATACATCAATTGGATTGATCGTCTTTCGAGTGCGTGTTGCATACTAATGCCTTCTCTATATTATACAAAGACACACACACATATGTGTATATATCGATATATAAATTTATATAAATTACAGTTACAATAATTCGTTTTCTTTTTTATTTGCAGGTGTGTTTGAAGAGGAGACAACGACATGTGCAGCAAGTGCAACAGCCGCGGCGACCAGAAACAATGTAAGTTTTAAAATAATGGAATTTCTTATGAATTTATCGATTTATTTTCGCAACTTCTCAATTTATGTTGAACATTATAAGCTTTGTTTAATAATTGCCAATGATTTTTTAGTGTAAGTCAAAGCTAACAGTTAGGAAATCAATTTTCAACTCTTGGGCTAATGGAATTTATCGAATTAATCGATTTTTTAAGTATTGATTTGTTAGAAAAACTTTTTTATGCAACATTTTTGATAAACAGTAAGTCCTGAGGCTAAACTGAAAGTTTTAGAGATTGAAAAGTTTTTCAAAAAATTATCGATAACCAATTATCGATTAATCGCTTAACACCTTGAGATCATTTCACTCGGCAAGCAGTGTGCTTGCATCAAAAAAACTATGCATTTATTTATTTATCGATAACTGTTGCATTTATCGACTCGTCTGATATCGGTTAGACAAATCATATATTTGATTTTTAATTACCCTCCAAGCAAATGACGTTTCGCTTACCTCAATTCGTCTACTTCGTTTGCTGCTCAGCTGTGAGGGCTAAGATGACACAAAACATTTGACTTTGAACCTTTGAGGCGTCTCCCTGGCCTAGCTGTGTGACGTCTAAGAGTGAGATATATACAAACTGACCTCGTTACACTTCTCTCTACGAGCTGTCCGATTGTCTATTTGTCCGGTTGTACGTTTGTCTGTCTGTTTGCTTATCTTTGTGTCAGCTTTGCTTGCTTTGTCTCTGTCGCTGCAATCAGGCCGTAAATGGTTAATTAACAACAGCGCATAACTCTCACCTGATGCAGCGCTCAGCTGAGCAGTAGATCTGTGGATAATGCAACAAAATGCCAATTATGTTCATGTCCATGTCCAGACTCAAGTCTCTAGTCACAAGTCTCGGATCTTGGAGCTCAAAACTCAAGCTCAATCTGTCGTTCACTTGCTGTCTCTTTCCCTCTCGCTCTCTCTCTCTCTCTCTCTCTCTGTCTATTTATCTTTCTTGTTTTGTTTTATTTCTATTATTGTTATAGTTGTGTTAGTTGGTTCTTGTCTCGCTGCTGATGCTTGACTGTGCTCGAGACAGGGTATATTAGCTGGCTAAAACAAGGCTGTTGAACTTATTTGCCATTTCGATACCGATAAGTATCGATAAGAAAGACTCGACAGCTTTAAGAGTTAGAAATTATGTATATGAGCTATTGAATGCCTTTATTGATATATAGGGTATCTAATAGTCGTGCATTTTGTTTAGCTGCTGTTGCTGTCATACAATATGAGGCAATTGTGTCACAGCTCTTGCTCGCCAGCTCTGGACCTGGTTCCAGTTACACACTTTGCCTTGTCATTTGTCAAAGATCTATCTGTATCTGTATCTGCATCTGCATCTGCAATTGTATCTGTAGCTGCAGCTGTATCTGCATCTGCATCTGTATCTGTGTCTGTGTCTGCACTTGAAATCGCTTTGTCTGCTGCCCTGTGCCACAAATCCAATTCGGACTTGGGCAGTGGCCCTGCAAGATGTCGCTGCTATCATTTAACTCATCTTTAACTGTCATTTGTCTGTCTATCTCAGCTCTATCTCTATCTATCTAACAACTGATTCTAGCTGAGCTTCGAGCTCCAACGATAGCCTCCGCCCAAGGCGTACGCGCTGAGGAGGAAATTGTCACGCTTCGCGTGTGGCAAGTGTGCATCCCATATATGCATGCTAGATCCAAGCATTCTATGGCATTTCCAGTGCCGTAACACTAGCCCATATATATCATGTGTTAGTTGCGCTCTGAAAACCCATTGGCCAAAGGGTCGCAGTGCGCGAAGCAGTCGCAACTAAAGGAGCTAGAAGCGGGCAAGAAGTTCTCTAAACACTATCTGAAAGAGAGTATTTAAAATAGATATTTCTTGACTCGAATTCCGAGAAGAAAATATGCAAATATAAAGGAATTCGAGGATTCACATGAGAGATTAGATGGTTCAGACTCACGACAGAGCAGCGAAACACAAAGCTAAATTTAGTTCGTATTTCTTGCGAATGGAGAATGGAGCAGCAATTGGAATGCGTTTCGAGAATTCAGATTGAGCAACGATACAAATGCCCCACAGGTGTGTGCGTGTGTGTGTGAGTGTGTGAGTGTGTGTTCATAAATCGCATAAATCTTTGCATATATAGAAATTAAAAGTACGTATCGAATGGGTTTTTCTGCATAAGTCGAAAGCTGTAAAAGGGATTCCTGGAAGCGTCTCGTCTCAGCGCGATCTTTTTTGCTCGGGGTGTCGCTCATAATCCTGCTCGCTCCGATAAAGTGGCAACGGCAACGGCATTAAGCCTGATTAGGTTCGCGCGCACAGCAGAAAGCACAAAAAAAAGCAGCAAAAACAAAGCTTAACAAAATAAAAGCGAAAGAAAGGCAACGCACAAGAGTTGAAGAGCGGCCAACGACGGCACAGCCAAACGGCCAAACGGCCAAAGAAAACAAAAGTAAACCTGTACAAGTTCAAGGTCAAGTGCGGGTCTCTCGCACACAGCCAGCAACAGCTCAAGATACAGATACAAAGATACACCAAGAGCTACAGCAGCAGACCCAACTTCAACTTCAACTTCAGCTACAGAAACAATGTTTGAGATGCGCAGCTGCGTCCGAGCGAGATGGCCAAACGAGCAGCAAGCGACAGCAACAGCAAGTTCAGTCAATACGGCTCAGAACGACAACAACAACTGCAGCAACAACAGCAACAATAACACAAAAGCAACTCTTGAGTTTGCCGCCTTGAAGCTCGTTTATCTTTTGGTCAAGTCCGCACTTACACGTTCGCTTATGCTTAATGAAAGCCACTTCAAGAAGTTAGAAACGGCAACAGCAACAACAGCAGCAACAACAACAGCAACAGCAGCAACAGCATTTAGAACAACATTAACAACTCCTACAAAAAGCTGCATTTGTTTTCGCATACCCTAGCAAAGGGTATACAAACTTGTAAACGAAATATGTGATGCACAAAAGGCGCACATATATATCTATATATATATAATAATAATATATATATGTATATAAAATAATAATATATCTAAATGTATTTATTTAGTGCACACTCTGTATCATATGAAGTGGTCTATTCGCTGCTGCAGCCGAGCCATGAGATCTGATCATGCAGCATTTAAGCTGATTCTTTTTCACATGCAATGATCTAGATAGACAGTTGAGGTGGCTTTGGCTTGAAAGTCTGCTAGGGTATTCTATATTCGGTTAATTTGTCATTTAAGTATTTTATTTCTGAAAAGGCTACAGCAAGTTTTGCCAGACATCATTGCTGCCACCCAAGCAGCGAGTCGATTATTTATCACGCGGATAACGCGAACGACAGTTACAGAGTCGCGAGACAGACGCAGCTAACACAAATACAGATAGAGCTAAAAGATACAGATACAGCTAAAAGATGCAGATACAAAGTCATATACAGTTACAGATACAGATACAAATACATATATAGATACATTTACAGATGAAGTTAAAGTTACTGTTACAGATACAGTTACAGTTACAGATACAGTTACGTATACTGTTACAGATACAGTTACAGATAGTTACAATAACCGTTATAGATACAGATACAGATACAGATACAGATACAGATACAGATACAGATACAGATACAGATACAGATACAGATACAGATACAGATACAGATACAGATACAGATACAGATACAGATACAGATACAGATACAGATACAGATACAGATACAGATACAGATACAGATACAGATACAGATACAGATACAGATACAGATACAGATACAGATACAGATACAGATACAGATACAGATACAGATACAGATACAGATACAGATACAGATACAGATACAGATACAGATACAGATACAGATACAGATACAGATACAGATACAGATACAGATACAGATACAGATACAGATACAGATACAGATACAGATACAGATACAGATACAGATACAGATACAGATACAGATACAGATACAGATACAGATACAGATACAGATACAGATACAGATACAGATACAGATACAGATACAGATACAGATACAGATACAGATACAGATACAGATACAGATACAGATACAGATACAGATACAGATACAGATACAGATACAGATACAGATACAGATACAGATACAGATACAGATACAGATACAGATACAGATACAGATACAGATACAGATACAGATACAGATACAGATACAGATACAGATACAGATACAGATACAGATACAGATACAGATACAGATACAGATACAGATACAGATACAGATACAGATACAGATACAGATACAGATACAGATACAGATACAGATACAGATACAGATACAGATACAGATACAGATACAGATACAGATACAGATACAGATACAGATACAGATACAGATACAGATACAGATACAGATACAGATACAGATACAGATACAGATACAGATACAGATACAGATACAGATACAGATACAGATACAGATACAGATACAGATGCATTCATATAAGCAGATCATAGCTGACAAACTCAGCTACCTCATCTTTTTTTGCAGTGTATTTCAGCTCTGGCTGAGGGCAAACATTGTTCGGGTTTTCTTTAGGAAAGAAACAAAAGAGGCAGCGGCAGTTTTTTTTATATTTTTGGTTTTTGTGCGCAGTTCTCAGATCTCTTGTCTCCTTGTCACCATATGTCTCGATTCTCCATTCTCTCTCTCTGTCTTTCTCTCTCTCAAGTTGAGGCAACCCACACTCAACGGCCAGCGGCTGCGACTGCGCAAATGAGTTCGACTTCGACTTCGAGTTCGAGTTTCGACTTTGTGTGTTTGGACTTCGACTCGTGAGTTCGACTGCGAGTTCGAGTTGGTCTGCCATTTGGCATTCACAGCTTTTCGTTGTTGTCTTTGTTGTTGTTGTTGTTGTTGTCATTTAAAGTCTAATCAAAACATTTGAAGTTACTTAAGAAACCTACGCAGCTTAAGTTGCGTTTCTTGTTTCGAATTCTTAACTTGTCTCTGTT